TTTGGCATTTTAATGATGATGTACCTTGTCGGGGCGTGAGCCTATTTGGATTCTTCTTGCTTGGAACTCTCTGTGCCTCCTGAACTTGTGTGACATTTTCCTCCTCCAGGTTAGGGAAGTTTTCTGCCATTATTTCTTCAAACATGTTCTCTGTCCCTTTCTCCCTTTCTGCCTCTGTCCCTTTCTCCCTTTCTGCTTCTTCTGGCTATCTTATAATGCCAGTAATTTCACATTGCACATTGTCCTACAGCCCCCTTAGTCCCCTTAGTTGTATTCCTGTTTTTTAATTTGATTTTTTCCTTTTGGGTTCTTTGGATGTGTGATTTTTTTTCTACCCATCTTGTAATTCATTGATCCGATCCTCAGCTTCCCCTAATCTGCTGTGTATCCCTTCCATTGTTCTTTTTATTCATGCCGTGTCATTCTTCACAGTTATCAACACTTTTCTCATTCTATTTAGCATCTTTGTCATCATTATTCTGAACTCTATGTCTGATAAACTTTTAGTTTCCACTTCATTTAGCTTTTCTTCTGGAGAATTCTGTTGTTCTTTCATTTGGGGCTTACTTGTCTCCCCATTTTGGCTGCCTTTTGGGCTTATGAAGATGTATTAGGTAGATCTACTGCACCTTCCAACCTCTAGTGCACTGCTGTGTCAGGTGCTGTTTCTGACTTAGGCAAAGATCAGGCAATGACTCAAAATTTCCAGTCAGATTGTATTCTGTCTTGAGTAGCTGAAAGTAATTGTTCACAGGTGGAATGTGAGGTTTTCCAATAGGGTGGGGCAATTGCTTCTGCCTGGGGGTGGCGGGGAGAGGCTAATTGTTATTTTCAGTCTCTTAAAGAGCCTCAGAAACTCCATAGGTTGTGGCAAGGGATTTTCCAATAGAGTGGGCAACTGTCTTACCTCCGGGCAAAAACCACTTGGACAGTAAAGCTCTTCCTGAGAGAGTTGTCCTCTGCTCTGTGATGGAACGGCTTAGCACAGGAAACCGGGGTGTTTTTCCTCTGAGCTCTACACCAGCAATCTCCAACCCTGGCTTCTGCTCAGAGAGCTCCAGTCCACTCTGCCCTCCCTCTGCTGGAGCCCAGGGTGAGTGGCTGCATTGGAAATTTTGTGCATTGGCTCTTTAAGAGACTGCCTGAATTTCTAACCATCTCTTCCTGGCAGACAGCAAGCAACCCTACCGCTTTTCACAGCCAGATGTTATGTGGGCAACTTTCTCAGTTTTGGTGCTCTCTGCTGGGGGGCTCAGCTTGGGTGTTACACCCCAGAGTTCTCAGTGGCAACCCTTCATGGCTGACATGTCCCTCTGGGACTTGAGCTGCTCTCTGTGGGAGCCCAGCCAGCCCTTTCACGCCTCTGCCCCTCCTACGAGTCTCTATGTGTTTCCTCTTACAGTCCTTGGTATCAGGGTTCTCTCCAACTTTCAGTTGATTGTTCAGGATTTTATTTTATTTTATTTTATTTATTTTATTTATTTTATTTATTTTATTTTATTTTATTTTATTTTATTTTATTTTATTTTATTTTGTATTTTAGTCATAATTTCAATTTGATCTAGGGAGCATGTCTATGTATCCACTTACACTGCCACCATTTTCAATCTCTATTTCTTAGTGCAGCTTATTTCATAATATGTGTTTTTTAGAAACATTATGAGAACTGGTTCAAATAAAAAAGTAGACTCCTCCCTTCATTTATAATAAATATTGTATTTGCCTGTCATTTAATAGTTAACTGCATATGTTTTTTCAATCTTAGAAATGTTTGGTGCCTTGTTTGGAGTGGCTTAGTGGTTAGAACCAGGAGGTCTTGGATTCAATTCCTGGTCAAGGGTACATACCTGCATTGCAGGTCTCATCCCTTCCCCCTGATGGGCACATGTGGGAGGCAACCAATCAGTGTGTCTCTGTCACATCAGTGTTTCTCTCCCTCCCCTTCCTCCCCGCCTCTCCCCATCTTCCCTTCCTTCCATTCTCTCTAAAAATCAATGGGGGGGGGTGGGGAATCCTCCTTCCTTGGATCAAGGTTAGGAAAAAAATATGTGGTATAGAATAAGGTGACCATAGGATTGTCACCCAAATTAGGACACTTTTTAGAATGAAAGATAACACTAGTAATACCGTATTTTTCGAACCATAAGACGCTCCGGACTATAAGACGCACCAGTTTTTAGAGAAGGGAAATGAAGAAAAAAAGATTCTGAAACAAATAGTGTCCTAAAATATTTTATGTGCATTAAAACCCAACATCACAGTCATAAACACATGTAATCAACCCTGTAAAGTAAACAGCAGCATTTAGAACCATTTTAGAGCCGGGCAAGCACACAGAGACCACACAGAGCCGGGCAAGTAAAAAAACTTTTTTTTAAAAAGTATATGTGTAGGCTATATTTGGACCATAAGACGCAGGGACTTTTTCCCCCCACTTCTGGGGGGAAAAAAGTGCATCTTATGGTCCGAAAAATACGGTAATTATGCCAGGACATTGGGGTCCCGTCAGGACTGTCCTGGGTAAACGAGAAAGGACTGTCCCCAATAGAAGGCTTTAGCCAGGACCTTCCCTGACTCGAGGAATTCTGTTTGCACTGCCCTTGACTCTGGAGCTTCATTTACTAAGATTTTACCATCGAGTGGTTCGCCAGCCGCCTGGAGCTCGGGCCACTTCAGGGTGGTGTGGACCTAATTGTCTCCAGATGGACGCTGGCTGAGTGTCTCTTTTCCTCCCCTTCAGCTCCACCCAGACTCTTTCTGGTATTTCTTCTGTTGGATTTTTCTTTCTTTTCCAAAGAATATTTTGGCTGATAGAACAAAGCCAGTCAGCACAGATGTGCAGAAATCATTACTAGAGTTTATCACATGGAAATACAATTATAAATCAGAAATGTATTTTCCAAACTGTTTTGGACTTTTCTGATGGACGACAGCATCTGTACTTCTGTCAGTGTGCAGACCTGGTTTCGGAAATAACTCCCATGTGACAGCTCTTTGTTCTGGTTGTCCGTGTGGCGGACAGCTTTTGCTGGTGTTCGGGATTTACCACGTCCGAGGCAGACTTTTCTTCTCCCTCCACCATTGAATTTAGGCCGGTCACCTTTGTGAGTGCCGTCATTGCCTGTGTAGACACTGTTTCATTCCAAACAACCACCGACGGCGGGAGAAAGGCCGTGGGTCATGTTGCAGGAAGACTACCTTAAGTTACTTTTCCACTCGGCCAAGTATTTCTCTCCGGGGGCCGGCAACCCAGCGTTGCCAAAGCCAGTGGAAACTTGTTCGGTCTTCCCTCTGCACTTGGCGTGGGCCCTCCTTCCTGGAGACGTGTGCTCTGCTGTGTGTTCGAGTTCCAGTCTCCTCGCGGCCCCTCCTCTGTCCAGGCCCTCGGTGCTGGCTGTGAGCCCTTGTCTTTTTTCTGCCTGGCGCCTGTCTACCACTGCGCACCCAGTCCAGGCCTCTGGGTCCCCTCCCAGATGGGCTTCCCTCCTGCTTCCGAGGGCGGCAGTTTCCACTTCTCCGTGTTAGCCTTGCAGAGTGCACACGCAGGTGGACTCGACCCTCTCCATGCTCTGCCGCCAGCCATCCTGCAGCGGAAACTCTGACTCCTCCCTTTCGCAAGTACTGTCAGTAGTTTCCAGAAATTTCCTTGCCGGGCACCTGCCTTCACCTCCTATGCCACTCTCAATATCTTCCTCAGCCCCCCTGGCTCACCCAGTTCTCTGCTTTCGGGCCCTCAGCCCCCTGTCTCCGTCAAATCCATTGGATATAGTGGTGAGGAGATGACAGAAATGGGAAGAAATCCCTTTAGTGGGTTCTCATTAGGTCAGCAATTCCTTATCTCATGTGCCTCCCTTGCCTGCTCAGTTCCTGGGGGTGAGCGTCTCCTTCACTTCCTTCACCTCCCCTCCTCCCCCCGCAGGTGCCTCCTCTCCTCCGGCGTGTTCTCTACAGGAGATGCTGCCACGGTCTCCTTCCACCGTCTCCTTCCATCCCAGCGCTTGCATGTTTGTTTCCTTATATCTGGCCGTCTTCCACATCAAGGTCTTGAGGACTGAGACCCCATTTCTCATGTTTCCAGTTGGATTCCTAGCACCCAGCACTGTGCCTGGCACAGAGCTGGTATTCAGCAAACATTTGTGGAATGAATTAATGAAAAGTATGAATTTAGCCATGTCCAATTTTGTGTTAATATTTTTTCTTTCTTGGTTTTAGCATATCTAATTTTCTAAATCCAGAGCATCATATGTAGAGAAACTCCAGGAGATCTAAGATTTCTTAGAGAGGAAGGTTTAAAGAGCAAATTGAGGAGTGATGTGCCAGTTCTGGTTCTCTCTTCACCGTGGGCTCTGCTTCCTCCATGCCCCTGGGTATGAATGCATAAGGTGAAGATCAGGGTGACCCTCAAGGAAGTCTGCTTTTTAAACTAATGGAACAGCTGGTTAACGTTACCCTCGTGATTATCAGCAATTCAGATTCGTCTGTGACTCTAGATTTTATGCTCAGCTTCTCAGTGCTTTCAGTTTTCTCCTGAACACAGTATGTTGTGTACCCTTCCTCACCACACAGTGTTTTAGGGAGACTGTTCAGTTTTATGGTCACAAGGTTGTGAGTGGCCACAGAACTTCAGTCCTGGTACATGCTGCTGTCCTTCCTGTCAGTCAGCAGGGACTTTCCGTTTCCTCGTCACTGTGCCTCCTCTGTCTCAGTAGCACTGTGTGTGCCTTGAGCTCACTGTGCACTTGAGCCACATGTTATTACATGCTCTGACACATAATAATTGCTCAATAAATGGTGTCTGGATAAACAGCTTACAAAATGACATTTGTGATGTGTGGTCTATACTTCCCTCCTTTTCTGTTACATTTGCTTCTATCTTATAGTATGTTCTGTCTGTTATGTTTTTATTTTCATAAAAAGTTAATACTAGCGATAGTCTTCTTATTGCAAAGTTCTTGGGAGTTTAGGATGCAAGGAGAGATGTGTGTGCTTATTTGTTTCAGCTATGACCATTCTGTCTCCAACGACAAAGCCCTGATGGTGCTGAGTGAGGAGCCAGTGCTGTATCTCCCGCCCCCTCCATGTCGGCCACTCATCAACACCACAGAGTCCCTCAGGTCAGTAGGCCTATGTTTGCTTTGGGGCCCAGGAAAGGATTGATTCAGGTCGAGTAGCTGGGAGAATCTCTCAGTTGCTCGTCAGGTAACCACAGGCATGTCTGGTATCCCCACCAATGGATCAAGGTGGTGTACTCATTCCATGTGATGGTATTGGGGGTGCAGACTTCAGACTTCTCCTTTGAAACCAGGGTGGTTTAACTAATAAAAGAGGAATATGCAAATTGTCCGGGACGCTGTCATACTAACAGTAACAACCAGCAGGCTGCGTGGGGCAACCAGGCTGGCAGGGGGAGCAGTTGAGGGTGACCAGGCCGGCAGGTGAATAGTTAGGAGCCAGCAGTCCCGGATTGTGAGAGGGATGTCCGACTGCCGGTTTAGGCCTGATCTCCGGCAGTCGGCCATTCCCCATGGGGTCCCGGATTGGAGAGGGTGCAGGCTGGGCTTAGAGCCTCCCCTGTCCCCCCGTGCACAGATTTGTGCACCAGGTCTCTAGTGTTAATATAAAAATTCAGGTGAGTGTTAGACTGGTGGGTGATGACCCCCCAGTGGAAGGGCCCTTTTTCTCATTGGAATACATGTGACTCTGTGGACACTTCCCACCATGCACTTAGCTGCTTCTCCCTTATTTTTTTTCTGTGATTTTGGACCCTACCCTTGAACTTCAGAAACTGCTAATGTTTTTATGTGACTAGTAGTGACCCAGCTGAGTTAAGGAGACATGGTCACACTGCTTCTCAGCTGCTCCTGAGGAAGGACAACAGAGTGCAATTCCAGCAGAACCAGGCTCTGTACATTGCTGGGTGGAAAATTGGAAAACTGGGATTATAGTACCTTAACATTTCCTCTGTACCTGCCTCCACTGCACCTGCCTCCACTAAACCTGCCTTCTCCATTGTGCCTGTTTGTATCCCCTGTGCCTGCTTCTACTGCACCTTCCCCATTGCACCTGTCTGTCTCCACTGCACCTTCTCCACTGTGCCTGTAGTGGCCCAGGAGTAGGAACAGGAAATACTTTCATCCTCCATTTATATGTGGGAGGCATTAGACTATGGTTTTCTTTGAATTTTGATCTCATGACTGAGGAGGTTAGCATATAGCAATTCATGGCTTATTAAGAACAATTGAACTTTAAGTATCTTAGCTTTTTCAATTCATAAAGTAATGTTGAATCCTCATGCACTTGGCATACTTGTTGGAATCTATAGAATGTGGTTAAACTTATTTCTAAATGGGTGAGACATTTACTTCTGTGTAATGTATGAAACTAATGAGGCTGTTTTACAGGTTAAATCATGAACTTCGAGGCTGGGTTCACAGACACGAGGTGGAAAGGACCAAGTCGAGAAGAATGACGAACACTCAGCAGAAAACACACATTCTTCAGGTGGGCTATGGCTTGTCTTCCCAAGGGGCTGGTGTCTGCTGGGAGGCTTCCCCCAGCTGTTGCTCTGTCCCTGGAAGATTTGGGAAGCTTGGCCTTTAGCTGCCTCCCACGGCCTCCTGTGCTCCCTCTGCAGGGCCGCCAGCACGGATCAGGCTGCATGCTCTCAGATTTCCTGTGCAGCCCACTACTGCTTCCTGCTCTCACCCCCAAACTTGCTTTCAAGACATCCATACCAAATATTTGGGCACGAATGGTATAATAGAAAATACTGTATATCTTTTTTTCTTAGAGCTTTTAAAAAAAGAGGGTGTTGAAGCACGGGCAGCTTGGAAAGTAGACCCTCCCCATGGAGGGTGTCCCTGAACTTCTTTAGGACCCGTGTAGGTGGCGTGTTCATTGTCACGCCATCATTCCTCAGCTGTTCACCATAGCACCCGGCAAGCATTTCCTGTGCTGGAGGGACAGGGCAGGTACTTTCCCAGATGCTGGGGCTGCAGCAGTTAGTAATCCAGTCCCTGCCTTCGTGACACTTACATTCTGGTGGGAGAGAAAAACAGCAAGCATACAAATGTTTCAGTGACCTCAGGGTGAGAGATGTGCCCTCAAAAGAAGCCGCAGGCTGGAGGGGAGAGTGAATTGAGATATGGTGACTGTTTTAGAGTGGGTGTTTAGTGAAGGTTTCTCTAGAGAGATTCCACTCGAGTGAGGTATTGGCAAGGTAATTAACACTGGCAGATGTAACATCTGGCCTCAAATTCTCAGTAGCTTAATGGAATAAAAATTTGTTTCTCATCCTCACACAATCTGATGCACATACGCATGGTTTCCCCTGCATAGTGACTGAGAATCCAGGTCTAGATGAGCTCAGGTTCTGACATCCTTAGTTTCTAGGATTATCCAGTGTGTGCCTCTCTGGCCTCTCTAGTACTATTTGTTCACGGATCATGGCAGCTTGATTGGTGGTTAGTACTTCTGGAGGCTCCTGACAGTCACTGCCAGTGTTGCAGGCAGTGTAGCGTCCCACAGCGGCTCCTGGCATGACGTGCAGCAGACAGTCCCCAGGAACTCCCGCTCTCGCAGCTGCTTGTTGGCCACTGTGGCCAGAGGAGAAGTGCTCTGTATCCTTCCGCTTCCAATCTGCTGTGGGCAGGAGCAAAATAATATCCAGATCTGGGAGAAAACCAAGATGGCAGCCTAGGTAAGCGCCTAAACTGCCAACTTGCACAACAATTTTAAAACAACAACTAAAAGACAGGATATCATCCACAACCACAGGAAAACTGGCTGAGTGGGAAATGCACAACTAGAAAGAAGGAGAGAGGCTCACGGATCAGGGGAGCCACAAAGCGCTGAGGTAGGGAGCTGTGCGCACAGAGAGGAAAGGCGGCTGAGTGCCTGGATGGCGGGAGAGGAATGGAAGCCCCTGATTGCACTGAACCCCAGCCCTGGCCGAAACCCTGAGGACCCAGGCTCATACAGGTTGGAGTCTGGACTGTAGAGAAAGACACCCTGAGACTCAGAGACTGAGAGACTTGGAGGAGCCGGGAGCCGCAGCGGGCAGGGTCTAGAGTCATGTGCGAGTGAGTGCACGAAGAGAGAGATGACTGTGGAGGTTGCTCCAGTTGCTCCATAGTGGAAGGGGTTGGAAGCTCCTGACTGCACTGAATTCCACTTTGGACTGCACTGAGCACTGAAACCCAGTTCAGGGCGAGCCCCTGGAGCACCCACACTCTTACAAGGGGAATCTGGACTGTCAGGCAGAACTCAGGGGATCGTGGAAGGCAGAGGTCTTAGGCACGCACACAAGGGCAGGGCTGACGGGAAGCCAAGACTGTCTGCTCATCCCTGAGACTCCGCCCCATCCAAGCTGAGCTCAGAGGCTTTTGCACTTTTGAAAGTCTGATCCTATTAAGACTGTCTCCAATACAGAAGGTATCCGGCATAAACACAGCTGATACTCACCTCCAATTGGCCTGGAGGTCAATTCCTCCCAATGATACCAACAACAATCAAGACTTAACTATTGTACAAGGGTGTACACGCAGTCCACAAAGGGGTGCACCAAGAGTGTCTACCTCAGGTAACTGGGGAGGCTGACCCACTGGGCCATATGGGACACCAAGCACACAAAGCCACCCTGCCAACTCAGGGAAGCAGCGAAAATGCCGAGACAAGGAAACAGATCTCAAACGAAAGACATGGAGGAGAACAAAAGACTGGATATAGAGTTCAAAACCACGGTTATTCAAGAATTTTCAAGAAGGTTTTTCAAGAATTTCCTAGAAAAGACCAATCAATTTAACGAGACCCTCAAGGATATGAAAAAGGACAACTAGAAATTAAACATACACTGACTGAAATAGAAAATATTATACAGAGACCCAACAGCAGACTAGAGGAATGCAAGAATCAAGTCAAAGATTTAGAATACAAATCTAAAGGCAAAGAACACTCCTCCAGAGAATCAAGAAGAGAAGAGAATCCAGAAAGTTGAAGATAGTGTAAGGATCCTCTGGGACAACTTCAAGCATACCAACATCAGAATTATGGGGGTGCTTGAAGAAGAGAGAGAGCAAGACACTGAAAACCTACTTGAAGAAATAATGACAGAAAACTTCCCCCACCTGGTGAAAGAATTAGACTTACAAGTCCAGGAAGCGCACAGAACCCCAAACAAAAGGAATCCAAAGAGGACCACACCAAGACACATCATAATTAAAATGCCAAGAGCAAAAGACAAAGAGGGAATCATACAAGCAGCAAAAGAAAAACAGTTACCTACAAGGGAGCACCCATACGATTATCAGCTGATTTCTCAACAGAAACTATGCAGGCCAGACAGGAGTGTCAAGAAATATTCAAAGTGATGAATAGCAAGAACCTACAACCAAGATTACTCTACCCAGCAAAGCTATCATTCAGAATTGAAGGGCAGATAAAGAGCTTCAGAGATCAGAAAAAGCTAAAGGAGTTCATCACCACCAAACCAGTATTATATGAAATGCTGAAAGGTATTCTTTAAGAAGAGGAGGAAGAAGAAAAAAGTTAAAAATTATGAACAACAAATACATATCAACAAGTGAATCTAAAAGTCAAGTGAATTAAAAATTAGAGGAACAGAATAAACTGGTGAATATAATATAATCAGGAGCAAAGAAAGGGAGTGGATTGATAAAATTAGAGGAACAGAATAAACTGGTGAATATAATATAATCAGGAGCAAAGAAAGGGAGTGGATTGATAATTATCAGGGGAAAAGGGGTGGGGGGGTGCAGGAAGAGACTGGATTAAAATCGTACACCTATGGATGAGGATAATGGGGGGGAGCGGTAAGGGCAGAGGGTGGGGTAGTAACTGGGTGGAAGGGAGCTATGGGGGCAAAAAGGAGAAACAATTGTAATAATCCGTGCAATAAAGATTTATTAAATTAAAAAAAAAAATAGTATCCAGAACCCTGATGGTTAAACGTGCGGCAGCATCATTTTGGGGCTTGCGTCCTTGCTGTGCAGGGAAGAGCGAGAATTGCACAGCTGATGCATGGGCTTTATGACTCAAGATTGGCCTGAATGAGTTGCTTTACTTTATCTTTTGATATAATTTCTTGTGATTGTATCCAGTTCATTAGATGAATAAATAGAACTTACTGTATAAGGGTGGTTGATGTTCTATATTCTGGAAGGAATTTTAATGCAACAAAGGTAGTTTTGTTTAATTTTACAGCCTTGAAACATTTGAGGGAGATTTGTAGTTTAGTTCTGTCCCTTTCTCTGCACCTTGGGTGCATGTCTGTCTGTGTGAGGTCCCGCAGAACTGTCCGCTGCACGGATGGAGGTCAGAAATGTGGGCCTGAAGCTGTCCCAGGGAAAGGAAAGACGGTGGGGTGGGGAGGACCTGTGTTAGCTGAGGGGCCAAGTCCCACTCAGTCAGAGGAGGAAAGGGTCCTCGCTCAGGCTGCTGTACACACCTGAGCTCACGGCATTCCTCAACGCACCCTCAGCACCGACCCTGCAGCTGCTCTGCCTAGTTCCCTTCCCCCTCTCAACCTTTCCTTCACATCTCCCCTCTCGGATGCTACATGCACCCAGGAGTACACTAGATATTTTGATACTGACATTTCTTTGAAATTTCTGTCATTTCTAAGCTTTATATTCATGATTTGGCTTGTGTCATTTTATAATTCTACCTCTTCCTACACTGAACTTTTAGAAAAGTTAGAGGGTCAAATCAGTGAAAATATTTTTCAAAATGAAAGCAAAATGAAGATGTTTCCAGGTGGATGAAACTATTACACGTTGTCTGTAGAAGATCTGCATTGTAAGGAACACTAAAAGAGGATGTTTGGACCAAAGGAAATAGGCTCAGGTAGGATTGGTGAATGTTGGTGAAAATAAATGCCCCTTAAAGTGTCTTTATTTGTGTTTGTATATAAATGTCTTTAGGAGACTTTTTTTTTTTTTTTTTTTTTAAAGCAAAACAGGGTTTTGTGTTTTGTAGGGTTTACAGGTTATGTAGGAGTAAAATACACAACAATAAGAACAGAAAGGTATAGAGGCAGTAAGTACAGTATGCTCTTACAAAGTTTTTATATGTTCAAATAATACTTCAGGGTTGGCTATGGTAATTTAAAGATCAAAATATAGTATTAAGAGCAACCACTAAAAACTAACACAAAGAAGTACAACCATAAAACCAGTACAGGAAATATAAATGGAATACTAAAAAAAAGAAAGCAGGAAAGAACAAACAAAAAGCAAATAGAAAATACATACCACGATAGTAGACTTAAGCCCAGCCACATTTGCAATAAAATGTAATAAGGTAAATAAACCCATCAGTTTAAAAGGAGAGATTGTCAAACTAGGTTTTTTGAAAGGTAAGACCCAACTATGTGCTGTTTGCAAGAAATAACATCTCTCTATATAAAAGGCTAATATGCAAAGTGTCCCCTCAGGAGTTCAACTGGAAGACTGGAGTTTGGTTGCTTGCTATGATGTGCGCTGACCACAAGGGGGTGGCACAGAACATAGCAGTGACCAGCAGCGGTGGTGGAGCGCTGAGGGAGCAAGGGAAGGAGGAGGCGGGGAGGCATGGAGGCGGGGCCCTTATTATTGGCCCTTATCACTGGCCAGGCCTAGGGGCCCTATCTATGCATGAGCTTTGTGCACCAAGCCTCTGTATAATAAAAGCCCAAGTGACGATTATGGCAGAACGACCTGAATGACCACTTGCTATGATGCGCACTGGCTACCAGGGGCAGATGCTCAACACAGGAGCTGCTCCCTGGTGGTCAGTGCACTCCCACAGGGGGAGCAGCCGCTCAGCCAGAAGCTGGGCTCATGGCTGGTGAGTGCAGCAGTGGTGGTGGGAGCCTCTCCTGCCTCCACAGCAGCGCTAAGGAGCAGTGAGCTGAGTGATAAGGAGCTAGGGATCCTGGATTGTTTGAGAGATGTCTGACGGCTTAGGCCAGGGATCAGGCCTAAGCCAGCAGTCAGACATCCTCCGAGAGGTCCCCGACTGCGAGAGGGGCTAGGCTGAGGGACCCCCCCCTCCAGTGCACGAGGTTTGTGTAACAGGCCTCTCATTTTATATATAAGCACACACAGATGAAAAATTAGTGGGTGAAAAGTGTGATACTATGCAAAGATTAAGTACTAGAAAGCTGCCAAAACTGGTTTGGCTCAGTAGATAGAGCGTCGGCTTGCGGACTCAAGGTTATCAGGTTCGATTCCGGTCAAGGGCATGTACCTTAGTTGTAGGCACATCCCTAGTGGGGGTGTACAGGAGGCAGCTGATCGATGTTTCTCTCTCATCAATGTTTCTAACTCTCTGTCCCTCTCCATTCCTCTCTGTAAAAAAATCAATAAAATATATATTTTTAAAAAGTATTAGAAAGCTGCTGTGGCTACATTAGTCAGACAAACTAGACTCCCAGTCAGAGAATTTTATAAGAAGAGAAGATGGAAATTTCAGAGTGATGAGAGTATGCTTAATCAAGAAGACAGAGTTCTAACTACATAGGCTCTTAATAAAAACTTCAACATGCATAAAGCACAACGGACGGGACTAAATGGAAAAGTGGACAAATCTACAACAAAATGGAACGTTTTATGTAAAATCTCATTTCCATGTTACTATCTACCTCATGTTTTTGCTGATTTTCACCTTTTGTCCAATCCCTGTAGCTACTAATGCTAAAGCTCTACTAGTTTTTCAGAGGTTTCTATGTTAACTGGTGTTAAGTCTTTGATAGCTAAATGGCTTGTTCAGTTCTACTTGCCTAATGTCTGTGTGAGTCGGTTTTCACAGCCTGGTCATGTCTGAGTCTAGGGACAAGTCTTGATTATTTTGGGGAGCTCTCCTTACTGATGCTGCATCCACAGCTGTATTTAGCATGAAGGGTTTTGCGTTTAACCCAGTAAACAGTAGGATCTAGCTTTATTAAGGATCTTTTGCACTGCAGGAACGAAATTTCCATTGGGAAAATAATTATTTTAGCAAGCATAAATTGTTATATTTCTAATAATACTTATTTGACCTGGTCATAAAACTTGTGATGCTTGGACTAAGCTTTTGGGCTATTTAAAAAAAAAACCTTTATGGGAAGTATCTTAAATGTCACCCTCCATAAGACACATCCCTCAGTCCAGAATATGATCACAGGAGTTCTGATTTCTGTCTTGGCGTTTGAGTCATATAAACTCAATATGTCAGACTACTCATGAAAAACTATACAAATGCTTTAATGCGAGTTCAGTGAATGTAAATGCGGAATGAGTTGTTATCGGAAGGTCTTCATATGGTTTCATTACAATAAGTCCTTTGTTCTCTCCCAGGGCGCTCTGGGACAGGGCTCTGGCTCTCAGCTCGTGGCTGTCCAGTACACAGAGACCACCAGCATCAGGTGAGAGAATGTGGCCGCACCTGGTCATGGATTCTGTATCTGTGAACCCACCTATTAGCTAAGATGTCCTTGTGACCCCAAAATCAATATGCAAATTGCTTTCTCGGTCGTTTGCAAATGCGTGTAGCTGTTCCCAGGTGAGGGTCACCAGGGCAGCGCCCTGCTCCTGGGGCAGGCATCTTTCCAGGTATCAGTGCCATGGTCCCTACATCCCTATGCTTTTTGTTGGCAATTTCACCATTTAAAACAGTTAAGTGCCTGCCGGAGTGTTGGTGTTGCCAGGTGTGGAGGCCAGATTGGTGACCTGGAGAAAGGGCTTGTTGGGGAGCTGCAGTCAGGCCTGAGCCACCCAAGGTCAGAGTTAGCGAGCAACAGTACACGGTCAGAAGGTGTCTGAACAGAACACAAAACCAGGTGACACGTTGGTCAGTTGATGACAGCGCTGCAGCCAAGGGCTTGCTGACCCTGCTGTCCCTTCGGAAGTGGTTCACTGTTTGCTGAGCCTGTGTCCACAGAACGAAAGTGTCACAAGGAATAGCTGATGGTATATTCAAGACACTGTAGACAAATGGCCTACTGAACAGATGGAATTATTTCAGAGGAAGTTCTTATGACTCACTTTTAATTAATTTCCTTTTAGACCCCTCTTTTCTCCTAAGTTAACAAAGATTAACTGAAAAAATAAATGCATTGAAAACACAATAGAAAACTGTAGAAAAAAAATGTAAGCTTTCTTTTGGGAGAAAAATAAGCATTATTTCTTTAACTCCTCTTTAACCTATGCGTGCCGGCTTTTGGGCTGAACAGTGAAAGACCCTCATTGCCGAGAATGTGTCCCTGAGTGTGAGTGGACCTGGGGCCTGGCGCGGGGTGAGGCGCTGAGCGGCTGTCCTGGCTCTGCAGGAGCAGGCAGAGCACGCCGGGCGTGTCATGCACCGTCTCAGCCTCCACCCAGTTGCATCCTTTTGTTGAGGAAATGGGGTTGTTCAAAGCTGGACACCCCCTGGAAGAGGAGGGCAGGCACTCAGCCAGGCCTGCTGTTCTCCAGTCCTAAGCCGGCGGCGGGAGCAGTGCTGTCCTCAGGCGTGGCTCTCAGAGAGCAGCATCACGCACGCACGCACCTGCGCGCACCTGCGCGCGTGCGCACGCGGCGCCAAAAGCTGCTGGCGGAGGCTCCGTGACCTCCACGTGCTTCCCAGCACACGTGACTATCTGGGACGGCTTACTTAGAGGCTCGACTCAGAAGCGACTCAGTCTCAGTGAATTGATCTTACAGATATCTGACTGTGGGCTGTTCAGACTGTTCTAGAAAACTGCCCAAGGCTGCTCGTGTTTGGTTGAGATTCCGTAGGCAGATGCGGCTCAGATGGATACTGCTGAGACGTGTGCCAGTCTGTTGTAACATGCCCTCCTCTCTCAGCAGGCCCTCGGGGAGGGAGCTCCAAGTGTACTACGCCTCCCCCCGAAGCTACCAGGACTTCTTCGACGCCATCCACAGGCGGGGAGACACGTTTTACGTCGTGTCGTTTCGAAGGGTAAGTGCGTTGGGGAGGTTAAAGGTCACATTTGGAGCACCCGCCCTCACAGGCGGCAGCCTTGGAGAGGGAGCCGTGGGAGCGCCTGAGCTGGCGCAGTGCTGCAGCTCCTGCCTGACCTGCCGCCGCGGTGGGCGTGGGCTTGGTGCCAGGTAGGGATGTGCTTTAGGCAATGTAAACGCCTCCCTGATGGCATTGTCATCCCCTAGCCATACTGTTTAAGACCAAGGGGGCGGTAAAAAAACATACAGGTTTCTGTTAGGCTTATGGTGGGATTCCCAGCAGGTAATGAGAAATTTAAGTCGAGTTTCAGATGGCCAGGGCCTGGGTAATGCAGTGGCTGTGGGCTGGGGAGTGCAGTGGTCCTGGGCTGGGGAGTGCAGTGGTCGTGGGCTGTTTGGTTCTGGGTCCTAAGGTTCTTTTCCTCTCTCTCCAGCAGATGTTTACTCCTGTTAGTGAAGGGTGTGTCAGACACTAGGCAGGTTATGTAAAAGTCAGTGTTTATATGAGCACTTCTGAATGTTACATGTTAAAGCAAATGGAAAAACACATGGTTTATTTCATTTTTACTACAAAACGAAAACATATTCTTCATGGAGTTGCCGTATGAATACCTCTGTGCTGTCTGTTAAACCAGGAACAAACGGATGAGCTAGAATTGGTGGTTTGTGTCCTAGGTTTTCCTTTTCTCATATTTCTTTGGGAACGTGGAAGGTGCGGATCCAGTCAGCGTTTCCAGCAGCGGCGGTCCACAGTGCACTGTCTGCTCTGTCCCTCTGAGCTTCCCGGGAGCCCGCTCTCTTCCTCAGGCATCAGTAGCCAGGTGCCCGGGACTGCAGCCCCGCGACTGGGCCCTTGAACATGAGGGAAATCAACCTTCCATATGTTCTGGCCTTGGACCCAGGGTGTGTTCTGCCGCAGCAGCAGCCAGCTGCTCAGCAGCAGGGGGCAGTCGAGAGTGGATTTCCTGATGACTCAGCAATGGTGCCGGCTGGTGGGACCAGTGTTTGCTTTAGGTCCACACAGTCCTGTTCACATAGAGGAACAGGAAACTTAAACATGGTCCAGCGCCAGGAGTGTCTTAGGATGAGTGCGTTCACTGCAATGCACTCATCCTAAGACACTCCTGGGTCTCAAGATGAGTGCATTGCAGTGAATGCGACAGAAGCTACCCCAGAGGGAAGTGTGAACACTCAGGCAGCAGAACCCTTAGGTGCAGGATGCTTTCTCTGCCGCTTCATCAGGACAGGAGAATCTGTCAGCGGAGCCGCTGTGCAGCCATGGGCTGCAGTCGGGTGAGCAGTGGGCTCCCAGGGAAGAGGACACGTGCTTGTTCCTGTTTGTTCAGGGATGTTCTCATGAAGGAAGGGGATGGAGTTCTTCTTCAGTATGTGCTTCACACGCAGCCTGTGTGGGGCCAGTGCCCATCAGTCTACACGGCTGTATGTGTGGAGCCAGTGCCCATCAGTCTACATGGCTGTATGTGTGGAGCCAGTGCCCATCAGTCTACATTAGGGGTGTCGAACTCAAATCTAAAATCCAGCCTAAATCGCGGGCCGAATGGTTTACTGAACAGTCATAAACTGTCATTGTGATGGAAACACAGCGGAGTGCAGTGATGACAGCGCGGTGCGGGCCACATTGCAAGGCCTGGCGGGACGGATTTGGCCTGCGGGCCTTGTGTTTGACACATGTGGTCTACATGGATGCATGTGTGGAGCCAGTGCCCATCAGTCTACACGCGGCCTGTGTGGAGCCAGTGCCCATCCGTCTACACGCGGCCTGTGTGGGGCCAGTGCCCATCAGTCTACACGCGGCCTGTGTGGGGCCAGTGCCCATCAGTCTACATGTGGCCTGTGTGGGGCCAGTGCCCATTAGTCTACACGTGGCCTGTGTGGGGCAGTGGCCATCAGTCTACATGTGGCCTGTGTGGGGCCAGTGCCCATTAGTCTACACGTGGCCTGTGTGGGGCAGTGGCCATCAGCTTACAGTGTGAATAGCTGTTGGAGAATTGTGGCTCCCCGTAACCTCATGTTCTAGTAGAAGCTGTGTTTCTCTCACCCGGGGAACTATAGGACTGTCCCTGTTTGGATTCTTCATTTCCGGGTGACTGATGATCACATCTCGGTGAGCTTCATTAGATAACAGTCTCTTTCTGGGTTTGTTTTCACAGTGGGGTGAGGAGTACTCACGAACAAAGCTATAATTGGTCGGACAGGCAGGTGGCTGCGGGGTGTGAGGCAGCACTGGCAGGAAGGTGGGGGAGGGCACGTCTTTGTGAGACCACAGCGCATGCTGAAGACTGTCCAGCCACTGGCCCGGAGAGGGAGCCTTTCCTGGCTGCTGCCCATCCCGAGCAGGCTCTCTGGCGCTGGTGACCGCGGAGGCCGCGTTAGCACCTCCCCCCCTCCCCTGCTTCTTCCCGTGAGACAGTGCTGCCAGTGGAGCACGCCTGGCTTCTGTGACCTCTGTGTCCAGCACCTGACCCTTCTCATCTGTCACATGCACACACAGCGAAACCTACACGTGAGAACCTGAGCTATCACTGTGCCTGCCTCCGATGTCTCCCCCGTTAGGCATATATCATGTTTTCCAGAGCAAGTGCCATTTGGGTGTCATATAAAAACCCACTGTATGTGTCCTGTGGGCGGACTCTAAGGTAATCGTAGGTAGTAGGTCTCACTGTGATGGAAGAAGCACAGGAAGCATCCCTCTGTCTCCTGGGTCATGGCAGTATGTGCCCTGGTCCTTGTAGCCGCTGTGGTCACTCCTGACTCTGAAGCAGCCCCTTCAAGCCACTGCTGTCTTTTTCACACGTGGCTCCTTCAGGCTACCCAACAGCAGGAGCACCTGGACGTGCGTCTGGTTATTGCCTCGTGCACAGTCTTGAGATCCCTGGCCACTCCCCAGGAGCAGGGAGGCAGGCTGGGGCCAGGCATCCTCTGAGGAGTGAGGGTGGTGGCTCCTAGGGCCTTCTGAACTATCCACTACATTCTGCACCCTGGTTCTAAAGAACTTCTTAATTGTTCGATCTAAAGAGCTTGTCTTCTCATTCATCTTAAAAGCAGGACGAGCCTAATTGGCATGGCTCACTGGTTGAGCATTGACCTATGACCCAGTAGGTCATGGTTTGATTCCTGGTCAGGGCACATGCCTGGGTTGTGGACTTGATCCTCAGTGTGGAGTGTGCAGGAGGCAGCCGATCAGTGATTTTCTCTCATCATTGATGTTTCTATCTCTCTCCCTCTCCCTTCCTCTCTGAAATCAATGGAAATATTAAATAAATAAATAAATAAAGGCAGACAGTGCCACATGCTTTTTCATTACCACCCCTGACACTGTGCAGTGCCTGCCCCTCATGACAATAGTCGGTGTGTGACTAAGAGAAGTCACAGTGATGAAGTTTGATGCTTTCCATCCTCACTTGATGGGTATTTTCACATCTAAGTTGTGTGCAAAAATGTGAATCTGTTGACTGGACCATGCAGCAGCTGAGGCAGAGCTGGGTTCCAGGGTAGCTCTGCCAGGCGGCTGGCCTGTTCCTGCCTCTGGATCCAGCTTCAGAGCTGTGGGAGTCAACCTGTGAAATGTACGTCTTTCCCTATAGTGTGTGGTGCTAGCAACCTCAGTTTTTAATATTTGGCAAAAACATTTTGGCGTAGAATTTGGAAACAGCCTAGGTGCCCGTCAGCAGATGATTGGATCCAAAAACTATGGTACATCTACACAATGGAATACTATGCTGCCATAAAAAAAGAAGGAATTCTCATCATTTGCAGCAACCTGGATGGAATTGGAGAACATCATGCTGAGTGAAATAAGCCAATCAATGAAAGAGAAACACCACATGACCCCACTCATTTGTGGATAATAAAGATCATTATAAACTGATGAACCAAAAGATAGATACAGAGACAGTAAAGCAACAAGCAGATTGTCAAATTACAGCGGGGAGGGGAGGAGGATCTGGGGGAGATAATAGATCAACCGAAGGACTTGTATACATGCATATAAGTACAACCAATGGACATAAAACTCTGGGGAGGGAGGGGATGTGTGGGAGGGAGGGAGGGGGGCAAAAAAAAATCAATAAAATATGTTAAAAAAATAATAAAAAAAAAAGAAGAAAAAAAAACATGTTTGCGTGGACTCTTCTTAGAGCTCACTGCTCTCTTTTATGGAGAAGGTTGGTGAGTAGTGTCTGTGTGGACTTAGGCATTGTGAGCCTGACATTTCCAACTTCAGACAAAGTACAGGAAAGCTCTACTTTGTGCGCAGGAAGGTCGATGGTGATGTTATTGGTTCAAAAGTTCATCCCCATCCAAGTCCTCGAGAAGAATGTCACAAAATAGCAGTGAGAACAGACAATAAAGAATTGTGGCGGAGTAAGTGGATGCTGCATGGACATGCTTCCAGGACCAAACTGGAATTACAACTGAAATATAGAAAAATTTCCAGAATAATCAACAGAGACTCACTGGAGAGAGCCCTAATAACAGAGGACCGAAAGTGGAGACTGTAGGGAGAGGAAACCAAGATGGCGGCATAGGGTAGAAACTCGAATGCAGCCTACCACAACAAATTCGAATTTAGAACTGGAAAAAAGGGGAGGCATTTCCCTGAAGCACCAGAAGGCTAGCTGAGAGGAGGCTCTGCCATCTGGGAAGGAGAGAGAAGGTGCGCCAACTCTCAGAAACTGTGAAGGTACAGAGAACTGTGCGTGTGAAAGGCGCTGGCTTAATCCGGCGTGCGAAGAAGCCAGGCCGGGCTGAGTTCGCTACTGGCTTATTCCCAGCACTCGGAGAGGGTGGACAACTAACTCGCGGCTGGCTTTCTTGTTCGAGCGGAAAACAGAATCACCGTATTGCTCTGATAGATGGCCCCAGTCTTGGAGAGGCCAGACTGTCAGGCAGCGGGCAGAGATCTCTCAGAGGTGTGTGAAGCCAGAGGCCATTACTGTGGGACTTAGGGAGGAGCCACTTGGGGAGAAGGTGACGGGA